TTCACCTGTTTTTCTCCCCCCCCCCCCCAACCTGCCGTCTCCCTGGGGTTCCCTCCCCCTGCCCCGCCTCCCGTTCATCGCAGCAGCCCCCCTGCCCTGGCCCGGAGAGACGCCCCCCATCCCTCTGCCCCTTCCCCTCTGCTGGCTGCTTGGACAGAGCTTTGGCCAAACGCCAATGGAGGAGGCAGCTGCAGGGGTCGAGCCCCTGACCAATGCCCCCTCTAAGCTGTGGAGTCCTGTGTGCAAAAAATCACTTTTGTGAGCTAAAGGTAAAGGTAAAGGTTTCCCTTGCTTGAAAGCCAGTCGAATCCAACTCTAGGGTTGCGGTGCTCATCTCCGTTTCAAAGCCGAAGAGCCAGCGCTGTCCGAAGACATCTCCGTGGTCATGTGGCCGGCATGACTAAACACTGGCGCACAGAAGGCTGTTACCTTCCCACCAAAGTGGTCCCTATTTATCTACTTGCAGTTTCTTGCTTTCGAACTGCTAGGTCGGCAGGAGCTGTGGCCAGAGAGGGGAGCTCACTCCGTCATGCGGCACCCGGGTCTCGGACTGCTGAACTACTGACCTTCCGGTCTGCAGCTCAGCGTCTTAACCACTTGAGCCACCTCAGCTCCTAGCTTTTGTGAGCTGCTGGGCATTAAAGTTGTGAGTGACCAATTTGGCCACGGCCTAGATTAGTTTGCTCTGGAGCCCCTCCTTCGTGAGTGAAGACAAAAAACCTATGAGCTGGAGGATTAAAAAAACGGTGAGCCAGCTCACACTAAGTCAGCTTAGAGGGAACACTGGCCCTGACCGGTCCCTTTGTCCCCCAGCTGCAGTTTGCAGGTGGACACTTGCCCCCCCCCCCAGGACTGACCTATGCGCAGTCATTGCAGGGAAAGATCATCCAGCAGGTTTTTAAAGAGCCAAATAGAGATGGTTGATTTTCCTGAAAGACCAAACAGGCATATCTAAAAAAACACCCTGACACCTAAGGTAGCAAAGCAACATTGATCCTGACCCACAAACTACAACAAGGACGCTCCTTCTGATCCACCAGGACAACCCTTTTTTTGGGGGGGGGGGTTGTCTCGGGACCAGGGCTGGTGATTTTAGCTCCATTCTCCCCTGGTTCTTTTCTGCCTTTCTGATAACTTTTCCTCTCCCTCTTCACAGCCCCCGTGGGAAAGGCCGTCTTCCCAGAATCTGAGGCGACCCAAGAGAAGGGGAAGGAGATGGAAGAGGAGGATCCAGAAGGCCCCGGAAGTGACCAGAGATCAAGCAACGGTCCCCATCCCACCCGAGCAGGGAGTGGGGTTGGATCCTGGGAAAGAGCCGTGCCGGAGATCCTGGCTAAGGACACCGTGACCTCAGATGTCCATTGCCAGCGCTTCCGGCAGTTCCGCTACCATGAGGCCGATGGGCCCCGAGAGGTTTGCAGCCAGATCCATGGACTCTGCAGCCACTGGCTGGAGCCGGAGAGGCACACCAAGAAGCAGATGCTGGACCTGGTGATCCTGGAGCAGTTCCTGACTCTCCTGCCCCAGGGAATGCAGGGCTGGGTCAGAGGGTGTGGGCCGGAGACCAGTTCCCAGGCGGTGGCCCTGGCCGAAGGCTTCCTCCTGAGCCAGGCCGAGGAGAAGAGGCAGGCAGAGCAGGTGAGGGGATTCCTTCGCTCAGTTCAAGCAATGACCTTATCCAAAGGCTTCCCTGCCAGATATTTCTACCTGGAGAGAATTCACTAGGCTGGGAAGAAAACCCAACCCTGATTCTTGCCCCTAAGTTTGAAGCAGCGCTGCTGGTTAATGCAGTGATGAGGAGTCTGCGAACGGGGCAGGATTCGTCCCCTCAGCCTGTTCGATTCCTTCCCTCACCTGCAGTGTTCCCTCTAAGCTGAGTTAGTGTGAGCTAGCTCACAGTTTTTCAGCCTCCAGCTCACAGATTTTTGTCTCCGCTCAGGAAGGATGGCTCCAGACCAAACTAATGTATGCAGTAGCCAAATCGCTGGCTCACAATTTTAAGGCCAGTAGCTCACAAAGTAGGATTTCTGCTCACAAGATTCCACAGCTTAGAGGGAACATTGCTCACCTGTGTCCCTTGCTGCTGTTTCAGGTGTGGGGACCATCTGTGAAGAGGGCAGCGCAGTTCTCTGAGGCAGAAGGAGCTCCGTCAGAGGAAAGTCAGAGGGTGCAGGCCCAGGAGCCTGCCCAAGACGCCCGGTCACATGGTAAGGGTGCCTCCTGTCCAGATGGGGTTGGGGCACCTAGTCAATTTGTTGGGTAAAAGATTTCGGGCAGGAGGAAAAGGGAGTC